CTAAAGAATTTAATGTATTCAGGTATGGCTTTTACGTCACTGAAGTAAATTCATCTCATAGTATTAAATTACAACCTAAAATAAAAACATATACGATGGAGAAATGTGAAATAAACAACAAGATACCAACATCTAAATTTGATACCACTTTTAAACAATAATTACACCAAGATATCCAAGAAGCTGGAATGTAAGAGAAAAAGATTTTAGGCATGCAAAATGAAATTACAGTCATCTAATGACAACCGCTCTGAAGATCAAATATGTGAAATTATGACATGATGTTTGCATTGTTTGCTTTGTTGATGCAAAATTTATCGATTCGTTTGATGAGGAATTTTTAAGTATATGAAAACGTGCAAAGGACTCACGAAGTTAACTTGCAGACTGACATTTTTCTAGTGTGGTTGTGTTCTCTGAGCTGATTACTTTCCGAAACCCATTGAGAGCCTATAGTGAGTGACTCTCAGAATGGATTATGATAAATTATGATCTCACGAATACGGTAAAGTTGTCTAAGATTTAGACGTAACAAGAAAACACTCTGTAGGCTACGAATAACTGTCATAAACATCTAACACTAAAGGAAGCACACTGCATAAATAACTTACGGATCATGTTGTCTGTAGCCACTGCTACTAAGTATTCGACCATGTTAATCATAAATGTTATCACAGTCTTTATTCTTGTTAATGAACGAATCAGAATTAAGTATTCTTGTACACAGCTGTACAACTATCGGTCCACTATAGTGCAAACATCATTGAAATCTTCCGAGCCTACTCTGTTAACCAACTCAGGGTTAGATGTGCATTATTTTTATTATTACTTAATTTCTTTTACAAACATTATAACTTCATTACCACATATGTGATTCATCACAGCTAATTGTATAGGTCTTGGTTAATCATGCGCATTAGAATTGTTTTAAAATCCCAGTTCATTCATATTTCAGTGTTTGTGAACAACCCAGCAATTGTAGAAACCCGAACCGACGTTTTGCAGTCTCAGCGCAGGAAGCCGAGCTTCGTTTTCTACTGCATAGATGACCGAAACCTTCCTGCATTGTTCACAGTCATAAAATGCCCCAATGACTGCAAAAACACAGTTATTTGCAATGGAATCTGTAGCATTTATATATAATAGAGAAGATTTGTAGCTCAGGTGGATGATTTTGGTGTGGTTGTGTTCTCTGAGCTGGATGGTTTGGTTGCGCATGGAGAAAAAATAGTTGTTCTCTGGTGGATCCTTGCCGTTTGGCGAAGTCTCCCCACTTTCAAACAGAGACCAACCAAACCATCCAGCTCAGAGAACACAACCACACCAAAATCTGTAGCATTAGCTAACATGAATAACATATTGAATAGTCGAAATTACCTCAGAGAATTCTTCAGTACAAAATGAGTACAGTACAATGAATGTATCTGAGTAAACCTATGGTTAGAAGTACCCGAGGATCGAGAAGAATGTTCCTAACAAGGTGGGATCAAAGCGCAATCAACAAGAATCACGCAGCGGAATATTCTCATAGACAGTCCAAGGTTTGAATGACCTTGACTCACTCAAACAAAATCGCATCGTAAAACAAAATACTATCGATATTACTACACAACCACATGAAGAGGTGTTAAAATTAGAGATTAAACAAGAATGAAGACAAATCATAAGGATTAAGTTGTCATATTATAAGCAAACTTCAGAACATTGATATGCAGCCTAGAAGAAAAAAAGAAGAAAGTACGAATTTAGATGAAACATCCAAATTAGTAACGATATTGTAATTAGGTCGTTCAAAAGGCATCTTTCAAAGAATTGTTCCGTTACCACAATAAACAGTATACTATAAGACTTCGTAACAATTTACTTTTGGAACTTAATGTTTATAATTGTTGCCATCGAACCCGTGTCCTTCTGATATACACGAAAACCCTTTAGTATAATATTTGCATTTGTGTGAGTAGAAAGTTAAGTTGACGAGGCATGTCGTAATTTGCAGAGTCATGAAATAGTACCCTTTTAAAATCTTTGTCTGTTACATAATTACTAAGCCACAATATCTCTGGTCTTTTTTTGAACATATTATTACAAATAATATTCATCTATACTTTGTAAGCTTATTTGAATAAAAAGAAACAGAAAATTTCATTGTTTTCTGTCAGTTAAAGTGACAGTAGGAAATTAAGTCTACGTCCGTAAATCTTTTTTCCTGATTTGCAGCTCGTTACAAACAAAAATGAACGAAATATTCCCACATTGAGTCATGATAAAAAGATGTAAATAGCGAAGAAAATTTTCTTTGCAACGATTCATTTTCAAAAGCTGTACAACCTTAATTATATTTAACAAAGAAATCATAAGACCAATCAGATACTAGTAAAATCTATCCTCAAGAAATATATTACGTAATGTAAGGTGTGATCTAGAAGGGATGGCAGATTCGAAGCTAGAAAGGAAGTGGAAGTTGGCATGACGTAATAGGTGTGAGAAAGTGACTAATCAGTATGATTGCATAGAGGGAACAGGGACTGGCGGGAAGAAAATAAATTCACCTTAGCATGTGAATCGTACATAGCTTTTCCACTCCTGGATGTACTACTTACTAGAAGACAAGAGTGCACTATCCAGAGATCAATATTTCGCAAGCCAAAATGAATGGGATAGTTTATCAACTTCTAGAGCTTCGTCCCACTGATCAGAAAGCAAAACCTAGTGCGTACATTAAGCTCAAGGATTAGGAAAATTCGTTCGGAAGACACGGTAGAGAAAGAATTGAATTCACCAAGTGAAAGCCTACTACAGAGCACGCGTCCACCATTATTCATCAACAAAAGCATGAAAGAGAAGCCTCCATCGCCAAACATCGTAACTGTTCCTAATAAAACTTTTTTCACTAACCTGGAATTCAGAGGTAACATCGAAGCAGAAATTCTTTGAAACCGTCTTTCTAAATATTTACAGAAGACATTTCAAGCAACCACCTTACGTATCACTGGGATTTGACAAAGGACGTCATTTATTTAAACGATAATTCGAAAATTTGCTGAAAAAAGACCACAACTCTTACATTTAAATACCTCATTGGTAGGAGTGAAGCTATGCTTTGTTGGAAAAATATGCACACTTTATTATGGCTGTTTCTAAAGTTCGTTAATGCTATCCAAATGACAACATAGAATAACGTTATTACGATGAGATGATAAACACTGACTGCATCTTGTGGAGGATATTTTATATGCAAATTAGAAGATTGGCACCACTTAATTGCGTCATCACAGAATATTATGGGGTTACCTATAGTATGAGTACAAATTTATCTATGCATTAATTAGTAAAAAGAGTGTAACTCATTATGTAAGCGTTTCTTTTTCAGATTAAATTTTTATTGATTGTTAGTGTGTATTATTGTTTCCTTTAGTTTCTAGAGGAACTAAAGGCTTCAGCCGCACATCTTCATTGCGTTCGTTTCTCCGCCAACGTGTTCACCTGGCCCCACGTCTTCCCACATGCTTTCATCTCCTATTCAAATGACCTCCTCCATATCACCCTCTCACTGACGACTAACTAGCCGCTTCTCGTTCGGGTTCCACTCGAGCGACCACCCAGCGTGTGATGTCACTTTATGGTTTTCTCAGAGTATGGCCAGTCCACCTCCATTTCTTCCTGCATATTTGTTGCACAATTGATTCCTGCTGGGTTGATTCACTCCCAGAGATCTATGTTTCTGATCTTTTCCGGCCATCTAATCTTAAGTGGTATTGTTCGAAGACAGCTGTTGATGAAGGTCTGCAGTTGTTCGAAGTGCATTTCGTGACGTGCCAAGTCTCTGATCCGTATAGTAGCACTGACTTCACACTAGAGTTGAAAATATGGATCTTATTTTTCATGTTAAGTGCGGTTGATCTCCACACAGACTTGAGATTAATGAAAGTTTTCCTTACCTTCCCGAACCTCGCTTTGATATCCTCATCAGTTCCATCCGCCTATAGTTGAAACGATGCTTACCAGGTCGGTAGGTAAAGGAGATTGATTCTGTCAGATTTCTCCCATCCATGTTGATTGTTGTCTATTATTATTGCTGTGGCTGTTGCTCGTGGCCAGGAATTTTCATCACCTCTGTTTTTTCTATGCTCACCTGAAGTCCTATCTTTGCTTCTTCTTTCAACTAGTTGCTTTTAACTTGCATATCTTCCGGTTTGTGGGAAATCAGACAAATATCAACGGCGAAATCCAGATCCTACAAGTTTTTTGTATGGGTCCATTTTATACATGTATCCCCATTGCTCGCTGTCTACCGCTATCAGGAAACAAACCGGAGATAGTAGGCAGCCGGCTTGTCTTACTCCCGTCTTCACTTCAAAGGATTCCATGAGTTCCCTGCTGTGGATTACTTGGCATGCAGCATTGTCGTACAACTGTTGGAAGGGTGTATAATTGCTGGCATAATTATTGTTATTTATGGTATCATTTACGAGAAGGTCATATTTTAACACCAAGAAATCTATTTTATAATTGACCAAACATCATTTTGGTTGTCAGTTTAGTAGACTTTTCAATTTTCTATGGCATATTTATCTTAAATATCTCTTTTTCTTGAAATGCTACTAACAAATTTAAATTATCACATAAACTGAAATGAAATAACCTGAGTGAGTTTCGTCTTTCAGATGTGCCATAATCGCTTTATTGTTATTATTATGATCAGACTTCTTAACTCTTTATTCGAAGCACACATATTTCTCACTACAGTGAACCCGTATACACTGTGGTATTTTAAGAGCATCACTGTTATTCTATTGACAATAAAAGGGTCAATACTTCATAAAAATGTATCTTTCAACATTCTCTATTTCTCATTTCATGAATAAACAAACATTTAATGTTATCATGAAGGCTTAACAATGAAAATACTAAATAACAGAAACTTTAAATATTCTAGCGAATATGCTTACAAGAATTTCTGTGAAGCATTTTAAAATTCTGTTTTCTTTTTTAAAAGCAAACAAACATACCAATGAGTACAATAGTAGCAGATATTAGGGTACTTACTTGAATAACTTTCATTTTATATTTTAAATCGTTTCTGCCTATACTCAAAGAGAGTAATTAGTGAAATGAATCCTGATGTGTTAAATTCATCTGAGAAAAAGGCAACTGTTTATCACACAGATATGAGTCAACAAATGCAGGATGAAATAATCAATATTTGTCTAAAGTTTTGGAAAATATGTCAAAGAAGTTTGGATACTACATCATTTATTAAACGAACACTGGATAAAAAATATGGTACAGCATGGCATTGTATTATTGGCGATGAATATAACAGGTGGGTATAAGTCAGCGAATTATTATTATTACTATTTGTTTGATAATCTAAACTATTGTCTTTTGAGAGATAAGCCCTACAACTATTGAAAAGAAGTATTACGCTGATGCCGTGCATCGGTGGCACAGAGGTTAGGACGCTCGCCGACCATGCACATGGTCGGGGTTCGATCCCCGGCCGATGCACCCCTTAACCTCGCTAAGCCAGAAATAAAGCTGGTAAAAAGGAAAGGTTGGGCATCAGGCTAGCAACCCCATCCTGTAAAAATAAACACTTATACAGAAACTTCAAGTCTCTAGCTTGAAGCCCGATGCTCCACTGGGAGCGTGAAGGGATAAAAAAAATTACGCTGATGTTATTTAGCGACAGGATATGACTCAAAATCATTAGCGACTAGAGATGGGATGGGTTTTGGCAAAGTTACAGTCAGTGACTGTAGCTAGCTTGGCTTTCCAGTCGAGCAAACAGACATTTAGACAGTAACAAAAGTGAGAGACAGTGTTACAGAAAGTCATCGATTACAATCCATGAAGCATAGGATCCTTATGTACTGACTGAGTTGTAACTTTGCGTTTTCAGCTGGGTGTATTGGATTATTGTGAGTGTTTACTGTTTAAGAAACCAAGCCTATACGATGTTATTCACCTTTTCGATACTACTTAGTTTATACCTTTTTATAAATGAATCAAACCTTTAAATGGTTGAATATTTTTGAATGCAATTCCTCAAAGTTAGGTAAGAACACTAAAGTTGTTTACTGTCCACGTTTTATTTTATCATCTCTTTATTGCAATGTTAGACCAGAAGCATTAAGATTTTGATTTTCTACAAAAAATGTCCCCCAAGAAATAGATAAAAACACTTATGTTATTCGACATTTCAGGATGAGATTTAACATTCTACTTATAAGAAAAGGATTACTGTTGAATAATATTCAATTAAAGTATGCTTTCAAGTGCATATCATCGTCAGCCAGTATTTATTTGTTGTTTCAATTGTAAATCTGTCACTTTTTGTTTGAATAAGGCATTAAGAAGGCAAATTTCGCGAGATGACATCATTTCGTAGTTTCTTTGCCACCGCTTTACAACTAACATGGTTAACAATAATAAAATAAAGGACGAAATTCTGTGGACTCTACTTCAAACTGTATCTACAAGTTCACCTGCAGCTGCGGTGACACCTATATAGGTAGAAGCAATAGAATGTTCCAATGTCGTCGAAAAGAACATGGTCCAAAATGGCTACTAAATCATATAGAAAATTACAATGCGAGTAATCTGAATAGAAATCCAGCGTCATCCACTGTAAAACACTTATTAATGTCAGGTCACAAAATCAATATAATGGTGTGGAATATACGGTGTGGAATCAAGCTGTAACAAAAAAAACTAGTGACTGTTTCACAATTATGTCACATAACTCTAATTCAAGGTTACTGAAGGTGATGGAAGCACTTTGGATTGATCACATGCAGCCCAAACTGTGTGTACAAAAAACAACAGACTTCAATCTTCACCTACCATGGACTGCTTGACCTATCTAAATATGATTGGCCATTAGTATGTACTTTTGTTTTTTATTTAACTGAGTAATTGTTATGAATTTTATTTTATCATTGTTAACCATGTTAGTTGTAAAGTGGTTGTAAAGAAACTACGAAATGATATCATCTCGCGAAATTTGTCTTCTTAATGCCTTATTCAAATTTATCAAAGGGACTAATTGTTTTAACTTTCTGTCTGAATATTTTCATGAGATAAATTTCGTAATGTTCAGAGACTTTCAATTAAAAATAATTTCCGCCTATTTTCGAAGTTTGACTAAGAGGACTGCTAATGTATTGAAAGATACAGCTGCATATATATATGTATTAGGTACGCTTTTTAAACCCTAGTTATTTAAGTAGTGCCTTTGTATAGAATAAAACAGATATATTGTATAAATGAATCATATAAAGGTGTTGTTTTAGAAATAGGCTTTCGGTTAGTGACTTGAATTGTTTATTTTTCTTTTGACATTTTATTAAAAACAATTTCATTTATGACTGAATCAGCTCTTCTAAATCCTTGAGTTATTAAGCTAAATGAAGCAAATTTTGAAGGCTAAAACGGATTATATAGCAAAATTATTGCTTCCAATGAAGCTCACTAAAAGGTGCTGAATGTAACGAAATATGAAGACGTTCAGCAAATTGTTATCATGTTGTCAGAATGTCACTTTGTACAACTGAATTGGTCATAACTGTAGACTTCACCATTTTATTACCGAATACTACGCATTTTAGCACTTCCTACAGTGAACAAGAACCACATGTTCTATGAATCATTAAATAATATATAGTATAGTATGATATATATTATAATCACTATTTCTTGAAGTCACTGTTTTGAAATAATGTGTTCTTTTCGCTTAAATTGTAACCACTTCATTTGCTGCTTGTACTGAAACCAAAGGACTAAGTTATATATCGCCAATGTTTTATGGTTAATTTTTTGTAATAATGATAATCATAATTGAATCTCCCTTGAAATATTTTTATTATTAACCACAATAATATAATTGTTTATATTATGATCATGGCGCCATGTTTTAAGATGAAACGTTTCACTCAAAATTTTCGAATAGTTTCTTTCATAGAAAATAAAGAAAATAAATCTTATGATGAAAAGTTAAAAACGTACTGACGTAAAATACTTTAGTTAGTCACAAAATTTAAAACTTAATTATTGTCTATAAGGAATTTAACAAGCTGACACAACATGCGTAGTTTATATTTCCAGTAGTAGACAGTTAAATGAGATAACTGATAATCCAAGGAGTATATGATTCTCTTTTTGGCTTGTTTCCTCTGTATTTTTTAAACAAATAAATCTTGGCAACCCTATTTTAATGAAGTGTAAAAACTTAGGCATGAATGTTTCACGTATTTCGCATAATGGTATGTTATGATAAATAGTAGTGCACAAGACATTATTATTATTAATATTATTTTAAGAGCTTGCACGTTTACAACATTCATTTATTTAGGGAGTTATTTAAAGAGATAATTTTATTTATCTAAACAAGATGAAAATTGGAATATTAACTCATTCCACTTAGTGGTGCAACAATCTAGTTAAAATCTTAGTGATCTGAACAGAGACAGAACAAACGTTAGTGAGAAATAATATAGATCCATTTCATTTCGTTGATTCTCGTCAACTGCGTACAACCAGTAATATTTATTAAAACCAGCTATGATACAGTTCTAACAGACATTTTGTTAATCAGCATGAATCAGTTCTCCAGTAAGGTTTAAAGTCACAGGAAAACAAAACATAAGGGTGATAAGGCTATCTCAAATAATTCGTATATATACATATCTTATAAGAGTAGTTTATTCGATAGAGTGGTGATAAGTTATTGATAATTGAGTAATCATCAGAGAGAGTAAAGTACATTGATTCCAACTCATAAGGTTGGAAAATCAAAATTCGGTATGTGCGAAGTTAACAGGAAAGATGTCAATGCAATACAGTGAGTAGGATTTAAAGGGGCGAAAATAAAGTCTGATATGGTAGCCAAGTGAATAATTGCAGGGAGGGGGAGGTCATTCTGTTGCCATGGCGTCAGCAGACCGAAAGAGACTTGGACTGTTTTGCCTGTTAATTATTCTGAATGCTTCCATTCAGTGTCTTGTGTCTATCAGGTGTTTGCTAATCGATGAGTGCAAACTATTCGGTCCCTTTAATTAGAGACTGTTTAGTATCTGATATAGACCAATCTATCTGCTCCCGCATTAGCAATGACTCAGACTTCTGCTTACATTCAGCTTCAGTAATTTTGAGGTATGAAAATGTCAGGATTGAAGAAATTTAAAGTACAAAAGTCCTAATGACTTTATTTTGAATGAACTCAATAATGTAAAAAAAAACCTTTAACCATTTAATTCTGTTTACACAGTAATAGGCATTTAAACGTTATAATGAAAGTATAACTTAACAAATACTTTGCTTCGTTAATGAGGTAAAATACAGTCAGATGACTTCTAGTTTTTAGAAGTTAAGTGGTGGATGGTGACTAGCAGTGGAATCCAGGATGCACATTTCGTCCTATTTGGGACTCGTTAGTTGGATGTGCCTGCATTCCACAGTGAGTGATGATGTTCCCACCGAGGCTCGAACCCAGTGCCCATAGTTTCAAACGCCCAGACATCGTCGAACCATCTGCACAAGAGGCATACATGTCAACCTGAGACCGAGCACTTCGGTCCAATCAATTGACGGGAAAATCTAAAATTGAATTGAATAAGACTTCTAGTTTTGTTCATAATTTTCAAAGGAAAGATACTAATTGTAAATGCATCATATACCATGTAATGTTGACTTTGTGAACACTCTATGAAATCTGATTATTTGCTTATGAACACTTTTTATATTTTCGTGATGATGACTAACTGTAGTGTTTCTCTTATCATGAACAAACAAACTGATTAATACCCGTGATTTAAGTCTGGTTGCTTTTATTAATGATCAGTATGTCAGCATTTCAGGCAGTTAAAGGGTGTGTAGGTAAATAAATGGATGCTGAAAGATCCTTGATCTTGAATACATTTTATTGACTACCACCTATCGGGGTGACTGAATTTGTTTGATAGATTAACTAGTAATCCCATTTAAATAGAGGATACAACTCAGCAATACAAAGCAACTTAGTCATCATCACTCTGCAAGAATCTACCAAGACTTTTAAATGCAATACTTATGAACTAAATGCAATTTAAACTGTAGGCTGAGAATGAAATCAAAATTCCATTTTGCAAATAGCTTGTAAAATATAGAAACATAATGCATTGAAGTAAGTTAATTAATTTCGCAGTTTGAATTTCATGCATTTCGAAGAAATGAATTCCCACCCCAATCTCCACTGGAACCCAAAATTATTCAAATCACATTATGTGACCTGCTTGATACCATAAATGGCAATCAAGAATGCTATATACTACCTCTTACTCAATGTGAGTAAATGGATACCATTCACATCAACCAGTAGTTCTTCTAAGCCAGTTCGCCTTAGTGGCTAGCTGCAGTTTAGGTGATTTGAACCGATTCATTCTATGAGTTACGTCAAACTGGGTACACCGCTGATGAGCTAGGCCCAAATCAGCAGAACGGTCACTTAGTGTTCAGATTACTTTGATCTTGCCGGCAAACACCATTGGTCATGCCAACGGTGTCCAACTACCCACACAAATCACAAAGTCGAAACACTTCTGTATATCAGTGAGTTATGACGTGATTCTTGAAGTTTTATTAACCATTTATTATAGTTTACGGATGAAGTAATTAGCTGGTAAGTACAATCATTTTATAAATATTTAAAAATTGGTTCGATTATGAGTCACTTCTTACTTCTTATGGCATTGATTTTGAAAGGCTGGCGAAAGTATGAAAATTATGTGTCAAATGTCCAGACTGTAAAAGATCCTAAAACTATCGCTGATTTCAGAAGACTACACTAACACGCCGAATACTGTGCTCAGTAGTCAACGTGGAATATCAGGAAACCGAATACCAATAAGAGTGTTCATTGCTTCACCGATTATGAAACAGGAATGCAAGTCAATGCTTGCAAAGTTTGTGAATAAACGTTGGCAAAATGTAGATCAATATTTCTGACCGTATATTCTACAGCCCTCTACCAACCAGCAAACGATTAATCAGCGATCACCATAGAACAATCCGAATAAACAAACCATTCAATGTCCACTAACATTGACACCATATTCATATTTAACTTAAGTAAAAAGTTGAAACAAGATAAATTAAATATTGAATTGTATCGCCGTGCTGAATGAAGGCATATGGAGAAAAGATTTGATGAAGAACGTATAATACAGAAAAGACTTTTCCTAATCTTTTACTTACTTTCGGTGTTTTAACACCGAAAATGCAAAATTCAAATAACTGAGGGCTGTTGCATGCTAGAATATTCCAAGGAAAACACGTCAGAAGATTTCTCTTTACAAAGTTTTATTATATCATGCTAAAACAATTTAGCAGTTACAAAAATTCAAATGATTAACTTTCAAGCATATTTAACATGTAAATTATGTGAAATTTTTGACATAATATATCTCTTCTTTTTCTTCTTCTTTACTTTAGTTGCGTAACACATGACTCAGAATGTTTCATCGACTTCAAGTATGAGAAAAAATCATTTATGGTTTATAAAACAAGTTTATGACCCACTGATCCCTGAAATGAAAGAAAACGAAATAGGAAACAATAAATTCAAAACATTGAAAAACTATATATTCATCATTAATATATTAATAAATAAATAACATTATATAAATGTGTTTTGTCGTGATTCAGAAGTACACAACATGACCTATATTCCTTGAATGTACAAACTTCCTAAAGGCACTTAATAATTGTTAGTTAGTCAGTTAGTTAGAGACAGTCTGCAGGAATCACTGAGCCTATGTTTCGTGCCTATTGGCAAATAAAAGCGGGGTGTATTTTGCAACCATATAAGAATAACGTTCCCTTGAAGACTGAAACTCTCTTCACCCAGTTGGGCAACTAGTCCTTAGTGTTATAGTTGAATGAATTCTTTCAGTCAAGTTTACTTAGGTTTCATTATGATGTTATTGCTTTTTCTGCGTTGAATGCTGAAGCTGAGCTGAGCTGAAGATGTTGTCTAGGAAGATAGAGAAAGCCTGTCCGTATAACCATCAAGCCTCGAGGGCAAAATAACTCTGAAGTTTTCCATCTTGATACTACACTGACTACTTCTCAAATTTTGTCGTCGTTTAGATGGATTTTGGAATGATATTTTCCTCGATTAAGATGAATAACGTAATCATATTACTACAATTATGTAACAAAAACATCACAGATGTAAAAGTATTGCAGTTAACGTCAGTCTTCTATAGAAGGAATATATGCCAGTAAACCAGGACAATATTGTTCGTTTTCATTTATTCATATTTAAGCGCCAAAAGTCATAGGCAAAAATACTTTATATAACCAGGTAGAAATCTAAGGTTTTAAGGAAATTTGCTTATGACTGAATCTCAAAGTAAAAAAGTTATCAAATGACCTAGTGAAGTTATCATTGATGGTATTCACTGTATTTAGAGATTTGTTTTTATGAATAAAATAGTATTATAACAAAGTTGCTCTTGATGTCATTTGACTGATACAAATAGAATAAGTGGTCAGCATTGCTTATAAACACTTGCCGTTCACTTCATTGCTTATTGAGGCTGACGTCCCTCAAGACTCTGTTCTTTCTTCTTCTCTGTTTTCTTTCTTCTTGCATAACTTGCCTCATTCTGATGAAATTAACTGTGTTAAGTATGCGGAAGATCTAACTGTTTCACTGCCTGTTAACCTCCACTTATACTGTACTAAGATGAATAGCTTTCTGTCAGGAATCAGCAAATGGTCTTTATCTAATGATCTTAGACTAGATCCTTCTGAATGTCAGATTGTTAATTTCAGTTTCCGATGTGAAAGAAAGTTAAATGAGGCTACTAATTCACATGGCCAATTCAAAATTGATGATAGTGATATAGAAATCAAGTCTGACGTCAAGTATCTTGGACTAATTCTTTCTTCTGATTTATCCATGTCTTAGCCATTTACATCAGGAAGTTAAGGTACTGAGGCATAACTCAATCCCTCCTCCTACAGTTTGTCAACTATTGCATCTTACCGATTCTTTTTCGTTGTTCACCCTTATTCTTTCCTGCGTTGCTTAGTAGAACTCTGAAGGCTGTAAGTTGGGAGAGTGGTATCCTATTGGGCCACATCGTTGACATTGCCATCGATATGCGCTTGATTTAATGCACTGAATCCGCCGAAAAGATTTTTTCAATCTGTGAGCACCTGATTTATTCGTAGCTGTCACCTTGTGTTTCCTCAGGTAAAACAAGGAGTCATTTCAAAAGATTTTATGCGCGCACGTCTAAGTGTAAAAATCCTCCGATACCGTATTTGGCACGTATTTTATTTGGTGGAAATAGTGTCATGGACGAACTAACTAACCTTACCACACTTTTCCCTATCCATATTTCACCAAGCTTTACTGTCATTATTCTTCTTATATTTATAATCCTCTCACTGTTTTGTTTATTTTCTCATAAGTGTGAGCATCACTTAAGCTTTGTAATAAGTGTTTTTTCGCCTTCACCATGCTGTATCAAGAGCAAATTAGATTCATTGCCATATAACGTGCTAAATTTCTTAACTGCATCGACAATACTGTTTGAAACAAACCCACTGTTAGTATTATTAATAGAGTCATTATCCACATTTTGTACTTTGCACATTTTTAGCTTTATTCTTACCACAAATATTGACAAATTCCTGCGGTTAATTTTACTTATATTCTGAGTAAATTAGATGCAATATTGTGACAAATGATGAGAATCACTGTTTTTGGAATGAGGTAGAATGTTATTCTTGTTGAAAATTAAAATTGATAACAGCTTAGAAACAAGAACATTGTTCATCAAGACTCCAAGGATAATGTTCTACTCTTGACAAAATCCATTTTCATATATCAGTTCACCTGATGCTTTGGAACCAACTACATAAGCCATACCGTTATCTAGACACGCACAGAAACATCTCCCAATATGGTTGTCAAAAGAAGAACTCAGACGAACCAGTAGTTTAGTTCTTGAACACCTTTAAGTGATTTGATGGATGATGGCTAGCAGTGGAACTTGGATTGTGCCGTGGTCACTAAACTGTCCTTTCTTTTACTGGTACAATAACTTTGAGTGTAATCTGTATTCATCCAGTTTTTTGTCTTCGTCTCATTTTTTTTCCTTTCAAACTTCTAATTTAAATTAATAGTTTATAGTTAATATTCTGAATCTCTTACCTTATTGAACAATGTTCTTGTTTTCAGGCCCTTGCCATTCTTCAATTTTTTGGTGGTGATTATTTTCGAGAGATGCTCATCACTTATTGTCTTTAGATTACGTAACTTATCACTGCGCTTCATTTTTAAGTTCACATGTTTTGATATGCATTGGGAACAGACTTTACCAAAGGAGTAGTTAATAAAATTAAAAATCGCGCAAGATTTTCGAATTATTTCCAGCATTGAAATAAAACAACACTTCTTTAGGAAGGAAGATGGACGGTTTTTTATCAGATTATTTTTAGTATGAAGGATCTGACCTATATATGTTGGTATGAACATCATTGCAAATGACAACTGACGGGCACTCTGTTTACACAGTTTACTGACTTAGATTAGAAGTTAGTTGGCTTTCGTGTCTGTCAAATTTTCTGCAGCGATTGACTTGATTTAGTGGGTTGAGGTTGCTGACCTTATGTCCAACCTCCACTCTTCCAGGCATAGGATTGGTTAGAAAATTAGCACACTAGACAACAAACCAATCAAGAACCTTTAGCCTAAGGAATAATTCGAAGAATAAATTGAGATGTATCGGGCACACATTGAATAACATCCTTGAGGGGAAGCTTAATGTAAAACGACAAGTTGGGCGTTGGTCCACGGGTAATGTGGGGGATATTTTATGACGATGAGAGTAGAGATTATGGCTATGACTTTGTATATAACTAAGGAAATCAGGTATTTTCAGTAATATACGAATATTTCGAAACTATTCAGATGAAACATTACCAGCTTGGAGAGACTAATTACTAGCTGTTGAACATCTGGGTCTTGGATAAAAGAAGCAGCATACTGTAATTTAGATTACTACTTGGCCAGTAACCAGGGTTGCTTACGCCAGTTGTTTTGAGCTACTGATGTTAATGCATAAAACAAAGTGTGCATGCCGCTCGTACGAAGGAGTCTTGATACGGTTAATTATGTCGGGTAAATTGACTGACACTCAGAATATTTTTAGTTTCTAAAGGGAACAGTCTTAAGGCGTCACATCACAGTACGTTCATCATGTATTTCATGATCTTCATCATAATTATACTCTTGAAATGCTTATTATATATATATAATGTTTAAACAAAACTTAAGTAAACAAATTCTTATACAATTTGTACATCTAACAATCTAAACAATACAGATCACATGGAGGGTATGAGTTCTCTGTCTGCATATGCTGTCTATTTTTATTATGGGCTCAACCGTTTTATCGTGATAGTTGTCTAATATCGTTTTGTAATGTCTACTTACTCTACAATTGACCTGATGGCAAATTTTTATGAAAGGTCGTATGACTTGTTGCTAAAAGCAGACCAATTGAATAAATTACCATTAATCAGTAGAAAATAGATCAATTTGAAAATACTAATAGCACCTGGGTATCATAACCACAACTCGACAGCAGTAACTCGACATAAAACCTTTGGTAAATACCGCTAGTAAACAGACGAAGAGAAATTTTTCATCTAGAGACCACTCACGTAAATCCAACAATGAATATAGATCATTTCGCTGTTGATTACTGATGGAGTATCTCGAAGAAAGAGTTCTTTTGTCTCAAAGAATCTGTTTTAGTGGTGACGAGTAATTAGTCCATACTTGAGCGTTCAAGAGACTAAACACGCACAGAGAACGAGTGGTTAGAAAGTGTTTACTTACCGGCTTTGTATGCGAAAATGTCAGGTCTGTATTAAAGAAGATTTCATGGCTTACAAAAAGAATAGGTTGTTTGAAATATATTCCTAGTGAACTGATAGTTGAGGAGAAATTACATGTGATAACTTCTCAGGAGAGTGGCCTTAAATCTTGAATGAAACACAGTAAGCCATTGCAACAACCCATAAATTAACGCAATCTTAAGTGTACGGTCGATATCTGCTTTCCTACTCTGTGCAAAGTGCAGATTCCATCTGTAGGCTAAATTTAGACTGAGCAGCACGAAATGTTGATTTCACTCTAGATGTGTTAAGGTTTGGTAGTGTTGGATTGTTGGGTGGATTAACTAAGGTACAACTGTTTAGTTTACAGAAATCCTAGTTATTTCGAGCACACTAGCACGGATCTCCGAGAACCGCGTTTAAAGGAAAGTAAAATCTGCCTCTGACAGCGATAGGAGGATCAACTGGTATCTGGGATTTTAAGATCATCAGTCAAGCAATGACCAAATAGTGATTCAAGAAAAATATTCTGCAGAAAGTGAGACATATTTCAATTCTAAACGACGACACATTGAACAAATCTTAACCCAGTAATGGGTTCTGAATGACAAAAATGATTATGGCTTTCTTATACTTCTTGACTTGAAGGTGGGA